TTACCTGTATGGGTACTGTTGTACTGACAGCTTGGTCCTTGTCCAGTGTACAATGCAGTGCAGTCTATCTGGCGAAGAGCTTTTGCATATTGTTTCGAAGCATCCGCCAGTCCATCAATACCATTAGTCAACAAATACCTTCAGTCATAAAAAAAGTCTCTGCGTTCGACTACAGCAATTATTACTCTGATATAAACTTACCATAACATTGAAAATCCATACATCGTACCATCAGCAAGCTTTGTCATACTCGATGTCCATTTCGTCTTGGCGATATTTATGGCTTTATCGGGCATAGCTGCCTTTTCTGGACTTTCCATGATTTCTGGATCTAATAGTGATTCGTACATTTTACGTCCTCTAATACCAAAGTAACCGCGTCGTCGAAATCGTCCACCATCACCCGGTTGTGTATTACCATATTTGTTGTCATCAGCTGAAAACTGTGCATCTGTACCAATGGCGTCGTCTGTGGTAAACTCATTGGTCATGGTAGCCGCTATGGCCAAAAACGCTGCTGATGCAACACAATTTTGACAAACATTAATATCATTCAATGCTTTATTTAAATATCGATGAATATATCCTGTTCGAACTGTATCGCCATACAAGTTTTTGAAATTTGTTATTGAAATACATACTGGTGATGGGTTTGGTAATGGTGGTCGTTGAATACAACAAGAATTTTCATCAGAACAATCGACGGACAATAAAGCACCTTCACACAGGCTTTTAAGAGAACAATTACCCTTTATACGAGTGTCATATTTGCCTTCACATGGTGTTTGACTAAGTGCAGGAGCCAGACATGTGAGCAAAGTCAGCAGTAATAGAGAAAACTTCATTGCTACAAAATTAAAGTTAGAATTTTTTGTTTCTCCACACTCGTCACTTATTTATATATTTTTCTTCAGCCGCCTACAAACGTTATCTATATTTGTCTACGTTTTATTTGGTTGTGTAGATTTCAAATTTACCTGCGTATAACACAACTGATATCGAAGTAGGAGTGAAACACAGAAATAAAGCACAATTATATCTTTATTTACCGAAAAAGTAACCTCTCATATTTACATAAAAATTGAGAGGTAAAATTGTTATATTTTAATATACTCAAACCTATACCAAAATCCAATAATATGTGTGCTATTTTGCGTTAATATCACAGGTATGGAATATACAGAGGAATACTCTATGAGAGTTTGAACCACTTGTTAGAATCCAGTGGGATTCTTCGTTATAGCTGTATATACTGTTAGCTGGGTGGCTTATTTTTTATTTTGGCTTAAGTTTAAGCCGCTATTAGACGATTGAACAATTTTCTAGGATTTTTTCAAACGTTGTATAGACTTTAATTCATATTTCTTGTAGAATAAAGATGACTTTCACTTCTTGCAATTTGTTTGTCGTTTGTTTTTCCCTTTCTATAAGTTTTTTGAAAAAAGTTTCTGTTTAAAATAAACTATAAAAACGGAAAATAGCTTCTTCTATAATTTTTCCGATCGTTATATTTCAATTTCATATTATGGACATGAACAGGCCACTGAATATTTTCCTGAAATAGTTCACACACAGCGTATAGCATTTCCTACTACTTAATGAGATACTTAGTGATTGAAGAATAAATTGGTTATCTCAATTAAGCTACCCGATAACCATGTATAAGGGTTAAAAATTTAAAAAATTCATAGCTCAAGAACGTTATGAGTCTAATATTATTTGTCTAGCGTTTATGCTATATTTGGTTGTGTAGAGCTCGAATATACCTGAGTATAACACACGTGATATCAAAGTAGGGATGAAACACAGGAATAAAGCACAGTCATATCTTTATTTACTGAAAAAGTAATCTCTCATGTTTACGTAAAAATTAAGAGATAAAGTTTGTTGTTATTGTCACATCTATGTGACGCAAAAGTAACTGTTTTTGTAACCAGCATCAAAACAGCCAAGGACGCAGTGGAGCGCCCAACAAAGTTTTCTTGTTGTTACAGTAGTATATATACTATAGTATTATTCTGTGTGAATCAGTCCGTATTAAATGGAAAAGAGTATTGGGCTACTATGAGAAAGAAAATACAACGAGAACTATGAGAAACTAAAGTAAATAATCTAAAAAATGTGATAGTAACGAGCTTCGAGCTGGCGACTCCTGAAAGACCATGTGTTCGACCTGACGCTTCAAATCGATATTGGTAGTTCAAAACCTATATATTCTGTTAGTTTATATCTTTATTGATTACTGATAAAGAAGGCCAGCGGTTAAATAACCATTGTAGGCCTAGCGATAATACAGATGGAAACAGTTGGTGAACATACTAACAAAAAAATTTAAAAATAAAAAAACAGTTAAAATAGA